CGAAAATCCTAAAGAAAATTAAAATATTTATTTTTCTTCATTAAATACAGTTTTCAAGCGTTTTTCATTATATTTTACCTAAATGCTGTTGCAATAAAACAGGGTGACTGAATTATTTTGATAATGTGGATTAGTTACAGATTAGATGTAGATACAAAATAACCCTTTCAATTTCATTAAACTTCTATTAAGGTAAAGTTTGTGAATCAGTAGGTGCGTTCGACAAGTCAAAAATTTGTAATAGTTTTTCCAAATTTTTACTGGATGGCGTTCGATAACGACAATTATCCAACACACAAAAATTGAGAGAGAAAGCATTCATTTTGATGCAAGAGAAGCGTTCATTTTGTACTGGCAAAATTTTAGTCAGCAAAAATTATCCAACACGAAAACATATGGTTGCAATTTTTGTAAACAAACAAAATTGCATTTTCCGAGTTTTGGTATTTATATGTTTTTTGGCTGCCTGCTATGTGACTTTATGATAGCGCCAACTAGTTTTTACTTCTAGAAATGTTCCTGACGAACATTGAACGTTCACTTTCCTTTTTTCTCTATGGAGGCAACATGAATTTCATGAAAACATAAACAAAGTCGGCTGGTGTGTCTTCTTCTTCCGGTTTTTGCAAGTAATGGCTAATTTCCTGTTCGTTTACTTTTTTGGTTTTTCATCTCTTTGGGAGAGAATTTTCGCTTACTCTCTTGATTTTGATTCTTGGCTGGTGTTGGCTAATTTTGTTATCGAACGCAACGAGTATTCTCTTAAATATTAAAAAAAAAAAAAAAATTAATTTGAAATTGGTTCATGTTTGGGCTATCAAAATTGACTAGTCCACAGCAACCTTTTTTGCCACACTGTGCGGCGGCTTTTATATCAAAAGTTATTAACTGTTAAACTCCGTGCAGGCGTACGCGCGTGGGAAAATATACCCCCATTAACCAGTAAATATCTTAAAAACTATTAGTACGTGATATGTTACAGTGATATATTTAGTAACTAAATTTTAAAGTTTCATAAAAAAGTATATTTAGAGAAAAATAAAAAAGTGCATTATAGTGAAGTCAAACCCAAATTTCCGCCTGCTGCGCCTTTGCTCTGACTGACATCGTTTTGTCCTCGTTCACCACCAGACCCATTCACTTTGCTTCTCTATCTAAGTAATTCCGAGAAGGCAGAACAGACGTAGACGTTGCTTTTACCGATAATATCGATGCCATCGGCATACTTATCTTTTTCAACATCAGATTAAAGAAATCACACGAAAGGGAGTCACCTTGTCTGAAAGCTCCTTTGGTATCACCCGCCTCGGAGAGGTTCTTCCCCATTCTGACAGAGCTGATGGTATTGCTCAACGTAATTTTACGCAGCCATATTAGTTTCGCGGGGATACCAAATTCAGACATCGCGGCATAAAGACAAATTCTCTTCGTGCTGTCGAAAGTGGCTTTGAAATTGACGTGAACAGATGCTGTGTGTCGATCCTATTCTCGCGGGTCTTTTCCAAGATTTGGCGTATTGTGAATACGTGATCTATGGTGGATTTGCCGGGTCTAAAGCCACACTGATAAGGTCCAATCAGTTCGTTGACGGTGGACTTCAGTTTTTCCTTCAGACCTTGTAACCTATGCTTAGAGGGCTGATCCCGCGGTAGTTGGCCCGAATGGCGGGGTCCTCTTTCTTATGGATTGGACAGAGCACACTTAAATTCCAGTCGATGGGCATGCGTTCATCTGACCCTATTCTGCATAAGAGCTGATGCATGCACCCCTTCAGCTCCTCGTCGCCGTACTTGAATAGCTCGGCTGGCAGGCCGTCAGCTCCAGCAGCTTTGTTATTTTTCAGCCGCGTAATCGCTATTCGTACCTCATCATAGTCAGGCGATGGGACATCGACTCCATCGTCATCGACTGGGGGCTCAGGTTCATCTTCTCTACCAATTGAACCCGAACTTTAATCAGCATAGCTATGTGTAAGCTATTCACGGGAAAAATGTCAAAAATATACAGGGTGTCCTATATCATGTGCTCTAAGATGAGGGGGAAATGTTTTTTATTGAAAAGAAAACGCAAAAATATTACCTACCAAATCGGGGATGCTATATCTTTTGGCGGTATTACCGATTTTCGGTTGCGACCGGAAATGGGTTAAACTGGCTGGAAGTATATTTTTTAAATAAGACATACATGTTTATTCGGCTTCTGAGGATAAAAATGCGTAACTTTTGTTTGAAACTATTTTCTTGACTTTTTCAACTCCTTAATGACCTTCGAACTTCCACTCGTCCTGGACTTCTAAAATGGACAAAAATGTTTTTTATTGTAAAACGAAAGTCGAAAGTTTTATTGTAAGTCGAAAGTCGAAATCAAGTCGCGGATGCTCTTTCTTTTGGTGGTATTACCGATTTTCGGTTGCGGCCAGAAATGCGTTAAACTGACCGGAAGCTCACTTCTTTAATAGGGCCTATATAATCATTTTGCAACAGATTCGGATTCTGCGAACAAAAATACATAACTTTTGTCAGAAACTTTTTTCTGGAAAGGACTTCCGGTTAAAATTATGCACTTCCGGCCTGTTTATCCCACTTCCGGTTGAAACCGGTAGTCAGTAATAGGACCAAGAGATAGCGCATCCCGACCTATTAACTCCTTTTTTTTTCGTTTTCCAATGAAAACATTTACACTCATTTAAGCAGTCCAGNACATCCCGACCTATTAATTCCTTTTTTTTCGTTTTCCAATGAAAACATTTACACTCATTTAAGCAGTCCAGGACGATTTGAATTTCGAAGGTAATTTAGAATTTAAAAAAGTATGAAGTATGCAGCATCAGAATTTATACAAAACTCAATAGTTGAATTTCTGAATAGATTAAATTGCTACCAAGGTTTACTTAATATTGATGCTCACAGTATGTGATTCGGGCGGAAAACCAGCAAATACATTTGGGTTATTCATAACGGTGTCGTAAGTGTCGCACTGTTGTATGTTTGTCGTAAACTTCAATCGACTAAAAATATGTCGAGAGGGTTCGCAAGGTATCATAAAATACATATTTTGAATTTTTACAGTATTAAAAAATATCTGGTTGTGGTTTCAAGTCCTTTAAACATTTATGTATTTAAGCTTTCAAACTTTACGACATACCACAATATGACACTTACGACACAGTTGTGAATACCCCATATATGTAATACTCCTATATTGTCAGTAAGAGCTAGTACCGTCCGAAAACACTACAGTACAGATATATCAATAAACACGTACGAAAGAAAACCCTGCAAAAAATTGTGCGACTAATCTCTAAAGAGAGTATTCCGAGATTACTCTCAATCGGGTACGATGGGGCATTAATTAGTCGCAACTAGTCTCATACGGGTAATTATGGAGGTCAATTAGTCTCGACTCATCCCTTATGGGTATAATTGGAGATTATTTAGTCCCCAACTCATCTCTAACGGGTTCTATTAACGATTTAATGATATGTACGCACTTAGTCAATGAAATTTCATGTGCGGCGTTGGCACACAGAGAGAGTATTCGTCTAACCAAACTGAGCAACCCGGTTCGAATCTCAGCTGGCGCAAATTTTTATTTTTATTTTTTAAAAGTGACTAGTCGCATTTTATACCCTTTCGGGTATAAAGGTGAACAATTAGTCTCTTCATAGGACATGCTCGAACAAAAGCGAACAGTTCATTCCATATAAAGAGAGTGGTATTAGTCGCCTGGGGTACTGTTTAGTAAGTGGCCCACCTATTTCGGGGTATTGCGTCCAAAGGGGTGACCCGATCCAAAAAAAAATTGCACACACTTGTAGCCAAGGGTCTACCCATTATTTTAACATCCACTATTGTAATTTTGGGTCACTAATTTATTTACAAATTGGGTTTGAAATATGTCCTTTTTTGTAAAATTCGGAAATTAGCGTAAATTTATCACTCCTATTCTCCTTAAAGCAGCTACATCAGCAATATATTTTTATATTCTCCTTCACTTTGCACTTTACTCGATGAGCTATAACTTTCTTTATAACTTTAATATTAACCAATTAATCACAATTTATTAAATAAAAACACCTTCTAAATCATGCGTCTGACTTTTGTTGCATATGCAAATTAAATGGCGTAGTTCAGCTGTCAAACTCCAAAATATGCAAAAGAATGAGAGACAAAAGAAAATAGGATATAACCCTGTAAGCATNCGCCCCCACCCCCTCCGCCCCCCACCCCAAAAACGATGGGCCAATAACTAAACATTTCCCGTCGCCTGCTCCTTTGCGATTGCTCCCGGAGTCATCCCGGATTAGTCCCATTTTTTGCAGGGAAGGAACACATACGTTTATAAATAAACATGTACACAACGCATATAGTTACAAAAACGGCACTCAAGTACACAATACATTGACAAAAATGGTACTAGACGGTCTCGCTGTGATTTCGGAATGCTTACACGTTGAGAAGTTAGCTTACTGCCAATATAGAAGTATTACATATATGGAATACTCCAATTGCATGTATTTTGACTACGGCACTCCACGCAGATAGGTGGAGAATTCACTGTTATCTATAGACTGTATACTGTAGCTTTATGTTTTTTTTTTTTTTTGCTTTGCAACCGAATGCGCCCCACGCAGTGTGTGATCATGTGTCACATCATATATTCGTGACTTGTTGTTGTTGTTAGTCCTCCATACACTTTAATCTCAATAAATTCCTACTAATCCACAACATTTTGCTCTTTTCTTTTGCAGATTCGTTGCGGATCTTATGTGCCGCCGCCGCGGTGTTTCTGTTTACATTTTTTTACTTGCTGCTGCACGGCTTAGGTGCTAAGCAAATGTCCCATGATTCGCCACATTTATGTATCAATTATTTTTTGACAGTTAATGATCGCTACAAGCGCTGGCATTTAAATCTTTAGTAGAGGATCCAACTGATAATAATATGTATGTATGTATGTGCAGTGTGTGTGATGACTATGTTGGGACCGAAGGAATAAAAATTTTGAAATGAAGTCTTAATGAAAAAAGTGTTACACTAATACGTTTATTAAAAAAAATATACAAAATAAAAGTGATAAACGAAATTCTACAAAGGCAAGCTAAATCCCCATGCCGGCTTACTTCGCATGCATTTTTTTTTTAAATTTTTGCCAAGTTGTGTCTTCATTCTACTTTTTTGCCGCAATTTATCACATTCTTAATTGCTGGCATAATTTGTCAACATAAAATTCAATTAAATCCACAAATTGCTCCATTCGCCCAGCATTCGTTAAGTGAATACGAGCTACAAGACGAATGATAATTGGAAGTGCCACGCTACTTTATGAAAAAGGTCAATTACAAAATTGTACATAAACGTAAATACATACATATATACCTAAATTGTATGTGTAAGTTTACATATTTGTAATGTGCCTTTTGTGTGCTTGAGCTAATTTTGCGAAAACGCAAGACAACCGTTAGTGTGTGAAAATGTATACAAACCATTACGATCGTTTTGTGAGTTGCGCAGCGCACCAACAAACACAACGCCCACTCATCAATGGTTGCCAGCAGCGAACACTCACGTTGACAGTACATAAAAGTATGAGTAAAAGCTGCATCGCGCCTTATCGGAGTCGCCGCCAAGTGAAATGCCAGCAAAAATCCCAGTCAGTGCTATCGATTACGATCCGAGTTTTGGCGAGGAGTGGAGGCGGTCTGTTTGCCCTCTTTTTACTTTCTATTTGCGCTGGCTCCGTTGATTTGGCCAATGCGCGGGCGGCTGGCTCGGATACTGCAACAATAGCTTTACTTGCAAATCTCAAGCAACATCATCAGAACGCAGTGCTCTACGCGCGCAATAATTTCACCGATCTATCGCATATAAGCGCAATGGATTTAATTGATGGAAAAGGTGATTCTGGCGCTGGCGCAGGCGCAGGCGCAGGCGGTAGTGGCAGCATGCCAGATGTTGCAGTGCCATCGACGGAGCGCACGCCGGACCCGAGAACCAATGCAGGTGAGTGAAACCATTGATTATTTGAATACTAGTAAAACCGTACGACGTTATTCATTAAATTGTACCAGACATTTTAAGCAGTTGAGTGTTTCCATGATGTCGTACGGCTTTAGAGTTAAATAAAATATACGAAACCGGAAGTCGCTTATGTATACAAAAAATGTGCCGTTGTGTAGGTTGTATACTGTCCGTTAGTTGACAAAAAAATTAGGTGCGCTTATATTTAGTTTAAACGCCAGAATATTTTTGAGGTGTTGAAATAGGGTTGCCACCTGTTTAAAAAGTTAAATTCAAATTACTTACTAAGTGTAATGAATTATTAAAATATGTGTATCAAGCGAAGGGGGATAAAAAACTTTTATTTCTGAACTGTACTTAGCGGGGTTGCCATATGTTTAAAAAATCAAATTCTACTTAATTCATCAGTTAATTAAAATATGTATCCCAATGTCAGGCGAAGGTGAGTTAACGAGAATTAAGTTTGAAAATACCCTGCAGTGAAAAGCTAAACCAGTATGCACAAATTCCAGTTCATGAACTATTATTTAAGGATAAAAGTCATACCAGTTCGNTAATGTTTGATACATTGAAATTATTAATTTATTTAGGAGGGTTGCCATTTGTTCGAACAATCAAATTCTAATTAGTTCTTCCGTTTATTGAAGTACATGTGTATCAAAATGTCAGACGAAAGATATTTAAGAAGATTTTAGTTTGGGAATACCTTTGAAAGGGTATTTCAAAAATGAGGTCAAATTAAAGACTTTACCTGTAGACGTGTGGTAAAGTTTTTATTTTTTTTTTAATTAAGGACTTTTTTCATCGGTATAGGGTGATTTGAAATTTGATGAAACTTAAAACATGTACTATGCCAGACTGCTATTCACTGGCACTCCGATCTCTTATGACATTGACTAACATTTAGAATTTTTTTATGTTTTGAAATTAAGTTTTGGCCGTTTTAATGCCATGCAGGTTCACTAGGTTTTACTAATAACACATATTTATGTATGCAATTCAATTTTCTATTTAATTTTTTTCATAACCCTTTTTCGTTATCTGAATACGCAATTTAAAGTTTTAAAGTCGTTTGCACCCATCGAATTTAAGGCTGCCATAAGCCCGAACCCATCGACCCGGATTCTTATCATATGTACATATCAAAATGGCAGATACAAGCGAATATGGTCCCAATATATTCCTTATAAGTATAGTTGGTTTTGTTGTTTGAGCGAGAACACAATGAGAATAAAAGGTTCTGAAACGTTTCCGTAAAGAACAAAACTCTCAAGAACGTTCTCAAGAAAAACAATATGAGAATAAAATTTTCGAGACCGTTTCCAATGAGAACGAAATGGGAACAAAAATATTGAGAACGTTTCCAAGGAGGATCACATAAGAAAAAGAGCGTTCGGAACGTTCTGAAAGCCGTGAAAACTTAACATAAAGAATGACAGGTGCGTCTGCGTGCTGGGTTAAAAAAACGTTTCAGTGAGAGCCTGATTGTTAATTCTAAGCCAGAGGAAAGCTGGATAACTTCAACTTCTGCCCATTTATGGAATAATTTTTAATTTTCTATGCAAGAAAGGTTCGTGTCTTAAGTCTTTTGTTGACTTAATTTGCATAGTTAGCTTTCAGTTCTTTTTTGATTCAATTGAATATTCAAACAGTTCAAACCAATGCAACGCTATGAGAAAAATTTTGTTCTCGCTCCCATTCTTGGACAGAAAGTTCCTTAGACTTTTGTTCCCATTTTGCTCTCTTAGACTGAAACTATTGTTCACATTTTGTTCTCTTTGAAAACGTTCCACACGGTTTTGTTCTCATATACCTAATTCTCGTTGAGAACGTTCTCGACAGTTTTGTTCTCACTTTAATTTTTGTGAAAGCACTCCCGAAGGTTTTGTTCTCATTTCGGTTTGGGGTTTTAAGCATTTTTGGGCACAAAACGACATTTAGTTTCGATTATACCTTTTGATCCCGGTCGCTTGTTTTAAGCGAATTTTAGCTCCAAAATGGCGAATTTTTGAAATCGAACTTTGTGGTGCTAAAATTCGAGTCGAAATCGAGTTTTGTCTTTATTTGATGTTGATGTACTGATATATTGGATCGATGCATATCGATGTCTCGTATATAAAAATCGATATTTTTGATGTATCAAATGAATTAAAAATATGCAAGAAAATGGAACAATCGGAGTTTCTATAAATGTTTTAGTATCATACATATAAATAAAAAGATTTCAGATACATAATAATCCAAAAACTTTAACTAATGCTTGGTTTTCATTTCGAAATTCCTGACATCAAAGTTTCCTAAACTAACAGTGGTTCATTTGGTGTCAAATGCGTTTTCATTACTTCATAAATACTGACCAAATGTAGATTACTAATAACAGAAAGCTTAACCTTTTTTCATAGCACAAATCTGCCAAATATGAAAAGGGTTGCTGCGTTGACCTTCATTAAAAAACCAGGAAAATTCAAGTATGGAGCAGGACACGAGGTCAAAACCAGGTCAAGTTCTGGAAACCAGGTCGTCTGGCAGTCCTAATCTATTTGCATTTTCGCTTCACATTTTCATGGAAACACCCAGTTCTAACCCTTTCTAAAAATATTTGCGTAATATACAATTTTTTACACCTCTTCCGTTTGACACTAGTTCCTTCATTCGATCATTTGCAACCACAGTGTAATGAATGATAAAAAAAAATCAGTTCTGCAAATTTTTACTAAAATATTGAACTTTTTA